ACCTTTTGTATGTCTCTATGTTACAATATAAATAGAGGCATAATGGTTTATATTGTATACACTTGAAGATTGAGTGAGTACTTGAAAGAAAGAAAGTTATCTTATATTTTTTCGCATGTCTTATATTCTTTTTTTTAATCTTTATATTGTTAGTTTGATTTTGTTTTAAAACAAAGAAAAGTTAATTAATAAATAAAATAAAATTTAACAAAAAATTTAAAAAACATAATTTCTAACGTGGTGCTGATGTGACACCGAGTATAACACACCACATACTATAAGAGTGGTGCTATGCATCTCAAGGTGGTATCAAATTCACTTTTAAATAATAAAAGTGTGTAATGCATCATTATAATAGTTGAAGTGTGAAGCTGACTTTTCGATACAAATTTAAATAGGGATGTATGCCTTTTCCTTTTGAAGTTCTTCAACATTAATGTATTAAACAAACTTGATTGGGGGTGGGAAGAAGTAGGAAAATTTGTATTTTTCTGAAATAGTAGAGAAATATTGAGAATATGTTAAGTAAAGGTGTGTTGTGTACTTTTAGTAATTTCCAAAAAAGAATTCAAATGATGATTGCCAAACAGCCCAAATCATAAAGACATGTCACTCCTTAGACAAAACTTTTAACTTTAGGAAAAAGTATTCATTACCCTCCTAAATTTGAAGCTTTTTATTCGGTGTACACCTAAACTTTATTTCATTTTAATTACCCCCCTGAACTTACTTATTCATCCAACACGTACACCTTTTCTGACGATCACTACGACCGTGTCTACACGCGCACGACACCTAGATAAATATTTTGCCACCTAGATAAATATTTTGTCACCTAGATAATTAAAACTTCGGGATCAAATTTAAAACCTTCACAATTCACATCGATTAAAAATTCTCAAAGAAGCTTCTCTATTTTGCTCTAAACCTCTTTACTTTTCTCTAAACCTCTCACGAGTAGATTTGACAAGTGTAATCGATAAAGTAACAAGTAGATTTGTGCGAGTTGCAGTTCTGGAGTAAATACTTGCTACATTTCGTGAAGTGTTTGGTCGATCGGTGTAGATTTGTCGATTTTCTTTGGATCTTGTCCGAAATTGTTATTAAGTAAGTGATTATCCACTCGATTTCGTGAAGGATTGATGTCCTATTGTCTGTATACTTTACTTTTTCATTCATATTTGGCCTTATTTTTCGTTTAAGGTTTCGCCATAGTTTTCGATTATGTTTCCGATTAGGGGTCCAATAGTTTTCAACTAGAATTTTCACTTATGAATGTATTATTATAAAGTTGTTTTACCTTTTTCATGCATGAGCATTATGTTTTCTGATAATCAGTTTAAAAAATTAAGGCTTTTTAGTAAAATTAAGGTTCTAAGTATTAGGGTTTCTGGCATTGTTAAATGGTGGGGTATTTCATATTTTGTTTAAGTATATTGTGTGTGATGCCTATTGTATGTTGATGAATAATACGTCTACTATACTAAGCACCAATTGTTGCTTCTATTTTGGTGTTATTGTCTATGCTTCGATTTTGTTGCTTGCATTGTACAATATACTGATTGTTATTGTGGTTATAGGTTGACACTATGGCTAATAAGTACCTCAATTTAAAGTTCAAATTTGGGGGTATCTTGGTGAGTGAGGTAGGTACAATATATATTGGGGGTGGGACTGAACATGTAGAGAATGTGGATGAAAATCATTTATCGATTCCTGAACTTGCAGATTATGCTAAGTCTTTTGGGATTAGTAAGTTAGGAAAAACATATGCAGCTCCATCTCTAGGGGTAATTTGGTGGAATTGAAAAATGACATGGACATTTGTAGCATGACATTATTTATGCATGATGGGGACACAATAGATATTTATGTGTGTGATGACACTATTCTGGATGTTGTGGGTCCCAGTAAAGGTCAAATTAGTCAATCTTTAAGTCAAGTGGTTGAGTCTTTTAAGGCACATGGGGAATCTTTAACTGCAGAACAAAAAAAATTAGATCCAGGGTTAGGTTCCTCTTCTTCCTTTCCAGCTACTGAAAGACTTGAAAATGATGGGGTTACAAGGGTTGAAAAAGAAAGTGATGATGATTATTCTTCAATAGATTGAATTGATACTAAAGAAGAAGTTGAACCAACTGTCCAATAAGGAGATGAATCTTCTATTCAAGAAGAAGTTGAGCCAAGTGCCCAAAAAAATGCAGATGAAGACATAGACATGGATTTTTTCTGTTCTGACCAGTCTATTGACTATGGAAGTGATGTACATGAGGAGTTGAGAATTGTTAAGGAAGATGTGAGAAAACATAGAGAAAGTAGGAGGAGAAAGAAGAAGGAAAAATCAAAAGGTTTTTTTAGGTGAAGTTCTTATGCAAGTATCTGAATGATAGAATTATTTCTCAACCTAGTATAAAAGGGTGGGAGATACAAAAATTGGAGACGAAAGAGTTGAAATGTTCATGTAGACAAGACAGATTGTTTAAAAACAAGAAAAGTTATTTTAAAGGAAATTATGGGGGATCATGTGGCAGAATTTAACATAATCTTAGACCACAAGGATATGTTACTCCAAACAAATCATGGGAGCACTTGTGTTATGAAGCTTAAAGATTCATAATCAGGAAATGGGATGAAACAGTTTCACTCTTTTTATATTTGTTTTGATGCTATGAAAAAGGGTTTCCAACAAGGATGCAGAAGATGTATAAGGCTGGATGGGTGTTTACTAAAGGGAATTTGTAGGGGTCAACTTTTGATAGTTGTTGCTAAAGATGCAAACAACCAAATGTATCTAATAGCATGGGCGATAATTGGTATTGAAAGAAAGTTGATATGGCAATGGTCCATGACCATTCTGAAAGGTGATCTTAATCTAGCATGTGCACATGGTATAGCAGCAATGAACCACTTGAACATGGATGCATCACGAGCAATATCTAGCTGAAATAGAAAAGACACATATATGAAGACATATTGTCATTTCATTCAATCAGTCCCAAACATGAAAATGTGATCTGAAAGCAGAAACCCAATAGTTGAACCACCTGAGGCAAGACAAATGTCTGGTAGGCCACCAAAGAATAGAAGAAGAGAAATTGGTGAAGTGAGAAAAGCTGAAAAGTTGCCAGGGGGACAGTAATAACATGTTCAATTTGAAAAGGACCAAATCATAACAAGAGAAATTGTCCAAAAAATCCTAAACCTAAGTCTACACTAACACCCATTCAAGAGATATATTCATATTGATTTGCTTTTATAAATTATGTTAGATTACTTATTAATTTAATCTCTTCTTGTATTCTTTTTCCACTCATATTAGTTCACCACTGGGAAAAACAGGGGTAGAGGTCATTATGCAAGAGCAAGCACCAGTAAGACTGGTAAAAGAAGAGGTGTAGAAAGTGGTTACAAGAAGAGGTCTCAAGTTGTTGGAGAAGGTGTATTTGTTGTTGATACTGGATATATGTGCATTAATGTAAGTGTCTTATAAAACTATCAAAATTAGATTTGTCTTCTAAATGTGAGTTTCAAAATAACTATGTAATTGATATTGCAGTAAGGGTAGTCTAGCAGAAGGAGGGTTAATACTGGTGTGGTGAGTTCTGCGCATGTGACAAGTGATATTTTTTATAAACCAATCAAGGGACTGAAGTGGAAAGGCAAACAGGCCATGACTCAAAGAGAACTTCAAGTGGAAAGTGTTATGCGTCGTATTCAAACCAGATCAAAAGATGATGGCATTCAAACAAGGTCACAAGCCAAAGAGAAATCACCCTTAAAGAAAAATTCTTAGTTGTGTGGTTGTGTGGGTGTAACAACCAAACTTAAGTTACTGACTATTTTTATTTTGGTGTTTGTGTAGTTGTCCAACCAAACTTGAAATAGTATTTTATGTTTTGATGCTTCTATGGTTGTTCAACCAAACTTAAAGTAGTTACTGTTTAGTGTTTTGGTGCTTGTGTGGTTGTTCAACCAACCTTAAAGTAGTGATTGTTTTATGTTTTGCTGGTTAACTTAAGTTATTGTTGTTGTTGGTTGAAACAATGAAACATTATTATGCTTCTTTTTTATGATCAAGAAAGCACGAGTTATGCTATGTTTGTTGCCTTCATGTTATTATTTCGTGGTATCATATTACCTAGTACATGTAATTGTAGTTTGATGAAAAAGGATAAGTCAATTTCCTTATATATATATATAGCTTTAATCAGCAAAAACATACATTACTAGAACACCAAACCAAACTAATCCACAAAATGAGTACCCTAGAACCAAATGATTTTGCCTTAATAACAATTGCATTAAAAAATTAAAAATTTAACAACATACTAAATAAAAGAACAATATCACATTACATATAAAACTAATACCCAAGATCAGTTTCAATTTCCATTTACACTTTAGTTGTTCTTCTTGTTTGTTGGTTTTCTTCAACAAACCCAAAATTACAATATTCTCCTCGGTCGGAAATTCAGGATCATACCAATTAAAAATCTTGCAAGAATTGAGGACTGCATTTCATAAAATCAAAGTTAAAAAAATAAAAATTGCATAATACGAACTTGTCAAATAAAAATCAAAAAAGGAGTATCGATACATACCCCATAATGTCTACAACCGAGAAATCTACGTCCGAAATTGTCATTTGTCCATGAAATTTACAGAATTGGAGAAGCCCCACATAAACAAACAAGTCTCCTATTATAGTTCATGAATTTAGCAATAACAATTAAAATAAAAAAAAAGAGAAAAATCTGAATTTTGAAAAGAGAGAAGGGATAAAGAAGAAAAAAAGATTTTTTTTTACGTATATTACCATTGTAACTCTATGATGTGAAAAAAATCGCTCTCTCACGCGCCTTATAGAGTTTGATTTCAGTTTGTATGTCACGTAGACAGAAAAGATGTATGTGTTGGATAAATAAATAAATTAAGAAATAATTAAAACGAAATAAAATTTAGATATATACTAAATAAAAAATTTAAAATTGTGGGTAGTGAATAGTTTTGCCTTCACTTTACAATTTGACCAAAAATAAACCAAGCGAAAGGGACACAGTTTCATGACAGTTCCAGCAGTGGAATGAAATGAGAGTTGGAGGAATCGAACGTCAAACCTACAAGTAGTGCACAAGAAAAAAAATACTATCTCGCATTCGTCCTCTTCAAATTGCTAGTGATAATGGGGTGTTGCAGTAGCAAAGCCGCAGATACTAAAGCTACCCGCATGGCGCGATGGCGTTCAACTGGCATAGTTGCTTTACGCGACTCCAAATTGAAGGCATTTTCTTTTCTCCCTATTACCTGACTGAATAAATTTTATTTAACATCCGCCCGGCTAGGGTTAATGGATTTATATAGTCAATGGCAACTAATTTTGAATTGATTGTTTGTTTTGCTTATTTGCCTTGTTTACTTGTGGTATTTCATATTTTGATACTGTTTCTTTTGCCAATTCTCCTTTTTTTCTTCTTCTATGTTTTGTTTAAAGATTAGTAAATTTCAGGTAACATCACTATTTATGGGTCGATATGTGTCTCTGAATATTTTCTGGAATGCAGGTTTTGAGTAAGCTGGATATCTCCTTGGATGTTATCCTTCAAGAAATTCTAGTAGATTTCCTAAGAGCACAGAGTTTGTATGCCAATAGGTTAAGTTCAATATTTAGACTTGGGAGAATTTGATTCATGTTTCTCCTAATGTTCTCTGTTTGGCACCCAAGGTGTGCCTAGTGGCCAATGAAGTGGGTTGAGCACCATGAGATTTCATGTTGAATTCCATCATAGACAAAATACTGGGTGATTTTGGTTCAGCCTTGGTGGACAGAGTAACCGACTGGTTTGTGTATTCACTGGTATTAGTCAAGGTGAGTGCAAGCTGGCCCTGACACTACGGTTATTAGAAAAAAAGAATGTTCTCTGTTCTCTGAGGTAGCTGGAGGTATACAATGAAACAGTAGGAGTAAAAGATGGACATGTAACCAAGTACATTCACGGGGAACTAGTGGCATGCTATTAATTTAGTAATCTTCATCAGCATCACTACTGATTATCTAATTCATTTGGAAAACATTAACATTTTCAGGAGTAAAAAGTGTATCTTATTCAACTTTTGCATTAAAATTTAACCCCAAAGATCACGTGCTAGTTTTAATTTTTAACAGAAATTTCAAATTTGTTTTCAAAAACTAAATGATGTCCATGAAAATTGGTTTAATTCGACTGTTGGGGAGTAGATTGTGCCTCACAAATCAGAGAGAGGGAGTTGCCACATTAGTGGCATTGACACCTGTAGATAGTTTAATGTATTCCTGAGATGACTATGAGCAATTGTCATGGCAGTGGATCTTTACCTTCCTAAACTGCTGAGGGTCCACAATGCAATGATGAAATATGTTTTCTTAATTGCAAGGTGTCATTGTCTTTTATGTGTGTGTATGTGTTTATGTATACGCCAGATATACAATCAGGCACGTGCATGCTTGTTACTTGTTTGTTTGTTAGTTTCAAATGAATAATGCTTACCGTGAAGAAATGTAAATATTGACGGATAAGGACATACAAGTTAACCCTTTCTTTTAGTTTTATGATCTCTTGACTGTTTTACCCATGACAGTCTTTTCCTGATGAAGTTATTTCCCTGGAGAAATCTGTACGCACCCTCGACTTGACACACAATAAATTGGGTATTGCTCAAATTCCTCAAGCTTCTGATTCATATTTGTCTAGTCAGTTTGAGCACAAAAACAGATCACTATCAATTCCATGTTCTACTGGCATTTAATTTAACCCTGTGTTACTTTGGGGAAATTGTTGTCTTCGCTTATATGTCTGATCTTATTTACCTGAAGCTTTTATCATTTCTGAAGCTGATCTCTCAGTTTCTCGATTGTGGCAGTTCAAATACCCATGGAGATCAACAAGCTAATTAACTTGCAGCGTCTAGTAAGTACTACTGACTACATATTTGGTACCTACCTTGTGTCTTTGCAGTCTCATTATTCTTTTTAGAAAACCTTATTATATTTTTAGTGTCCACATCTCATCATGAAAGCTAGATCGAATTGTCGGTCATATTCCTGCAGCCAGAGGTCATATAGGAGAAAGGTACATGGTATTTGCAGAATTGGCACAACTAAAATGTAATGAGTGTCTGTCACTGTTGTGGAAGAGAAATTTAACAAGGAAAAGTAGCTTCTTTTGGAGGACATGATGTTGTCAACGTAATAAGGTAAGAGAAGGGAAGATAATTAATTGATCTTGTTGATAATAGAACAGAACACACTTATCTAGAGGTGTGAGATACAAGTCACATCTTATATTTAACCAATGAGGCTAAAGGAACAATAACAACAACATACCCTTTTCTAGCTATGTCATGTCCTCAGTAAAGATAATCTTATGCCCGCCCCTCAAGATCTTTTTTGTGTACCTCTTACCCCTTTTAACATCTGTTATAGTCAACCTCTCACACCTCCACTTCACATGCCCAAACAATCTCAACCTCGCTTTACTCATTTTGTCCTCCACGGGAGGCAACTCCCACCTTGCCTCACATAACTTTGTTTCTAATCATATATCTCCTAGTATGTCTACACATCCATCTATGCATCCTCATTTCCTCGACATTAATCTTCCACACATGGGCATTCTTGACTTGCCGACACTCTGCCCCAATAAACAAAGTTGGGTGAACCATCACTGTGTAGAACTTACCTTTAACCTTGTTGACACATTTTTATCACACGGTATTGCTGATGCAAGCCTCTATTTAACCCGCCTCGCTATAATGCAGTGTGCAACATCCTTATCAATTTTTTTGTATCCTTGAGTTTTGGACCTAAGATTATTGAAACTTTCTCTCTTGGATATGACTTGTGCTTGATCTTCACTTCCACCTCATCTGCCTGATGTGTTATGCTGCTAAACTTGCACTCCAGGTACTAGGTTTTAGTCTGCTTAACCTGAAACATTTTAACTCTAGGGCCTATCTCCAAACTTCTAGCCTATTATTAACTTCACTGCGTATCTCATCAATCAATACTATGTCGTGTTTGAATAATATACACACAACACAGTTCCCTTGAATATATCATGTAAATATATTCCTTTACTTTGGCAAATAGGTATGGGCTAAGGGCTGATCCCTGGTGCAACCTTATGACAACCGAAAAATGTTCTAAATCACCTCCACTATTCTAACTTGGGTATTGGCTCTCTTGTACATGCCCTTAATTGTCCTAATATAAATCATAGGCACACCTCTAGACTTCAAACATTTCCAAAGGACCTCCCTAGGGACTTTATTATACAACTTTTCAATGGTTAATCAGTCTCACTGCCATCTCTTTACTGCTCCAGCGATCTCCTTGCAAGATTAATGGCTTCTGTAGTTGATCTCTCCGGCATGAATAAAATTGGTTATTAGATATAGACACACCCTTCCTCATCCTTATCTCAACCAGTCTCTCCCAAACATTCATCGTATGGTTTAGTAGCTCTATACTCCTATAGTTGTTGCAATTCTGAATATCACCCTCGAACAACACTTTATCATTCTTTTTCTCAATGATCTTCACTTGGTCCAAGACCCATGCCCTCTTCTCTCTCACCTTGGCGAGCCTCTACGACTTTCAATTGCTTTTTTTGCACCCAAGCTTTTCATACAACTGTTCAAAAGTTGCCATTTAGCTGTCATCACCACTAGCTTTGCTTCCTTCTTCGCTATCTTATACCACTCCTATTTCTCCATTGTTCTCCTTGTTTACACTTTCCATTAATATTTAGCATAAGAACCTTCTTGATTTCCACTTTTCCTTGAACCTCTCTATTCCACCGCCAATCCTCTTTGTGTCCACTGGCCTTGAGATACCCAACACCTCTCTAGTTGCTATCATGATGCAATCAGTTGTCTTAGACCACATATTGTCTACGTCCCCACTACTCCCACAAGCTCCCGTAGCTGCCAACTTCAGCCCAATCATAAAGGGTCTGGCTGTAGTTAAGCCTCCCCATCTAATCCTTGGTTGAACACATGGAACCCTTGTCTTCTTCTTCTTTCTCCTCCTCTTGATATCTAGATCTATAATCATGAGCGGTTAGGTTGTAAGGTTCTTACTTGGAGTAACCTTGCAATCCTTAAAGAAAACTCTGCCGCACTTCCTAAGGAGCACATAGTCTATCTGAGACTTAACCACCACACTATCACAGATCTCCAAGTGCTCCTCTCTCTTTTGGAAGCACGAGCAAGCTATGACCAACTCAAAAACTTCCACAAAGTCCAACAACATTAACACTTAACACTCACTCCAATATCCTAACAACTACTACGGCTCGATCTCAAACAGATTTGGGTCACCTATATGAATCTTCACTGACCATATTAACTCATATAAGCTCAACTTGTGTCATCATCAACAAAAAAAGGTGAAACATAAGTTATTGAATATATATAAGCAATAGTAATACTATTACTGATATTATTACTATTACTTCTATATATTAATAGTAGTAGTTGTATTACTATCACTGATTTATTTTTCAGTTTCAAAATTGAGTAATAGTAATAAAACTACCACTAATGGGGATGAAATTTAGAAGTTTGGTTATTAGCATATAAAAAAATGAATTAGAAGTTCTTTATATTTCGACTAACATATAAAATCTATGATAACGTCCAAATGAAACTCCAATATACTAGCACTTACATTTGACATTCTAACTCCTTAAAAATAAGAAGGGAAAGAGAAATTGACTTGAATTTGTCTATCTAGGCATGGAAAGTAAATATTCACTTGAAGTCACATGGATAGTGTAGCCAGAAAACCTCTTGGAAAATGTAGCCGAGAGTCCTCAAAAAAGTACTAATCACTGGAGTCTCGCTAATATAATTTAATTTAAAGAATGGATGACAGTTGTTTCTTGCTTATTTACAAGAATAGGCATCTTTCCACTTTAGTTCTGTAGTTTAAGGTCACTTGCTGGTTGGAGGAAGCTAAATATGACACTACCAAGATTGTAGGGCCCGGTATCTTGTGAGAAGAATAAAAGGGAAGCTAAACTTGACGATAATGAAATGTGCAACACAGTTATTTATAGGTGTGAGATACAATTCTCTTTGGGACTTACTTAACACTAACAATTATCTAACATTTACATTCCAATGGTCTAATACAAAGATGATATAGAATGGAAGAAAGTTTCTTCTTCTTGCTGGAGATCAGTCAAGGACATGAATAATGCATTATTGAGGAGGTAGGAAGATATTTATCACATAGGATATCAAGATGGTACTACTTTGTTAAATTATGTTGGTTTTTAACAAAAGAACCACTCAACAGCCAACATTTTGTGCACCCAAGTGTGGCCATCCGACACGCACCCATCGACATTGTTGAAGAGTCCGAGCAGCATATTGGCCAATAAATTGGGTTGAGAACATGATGCCTCATATTCAAATTCCAAGGGATACAAAAGCGCTAAGCGATTTCTTTGCACTTGTTCTAACTTTGGTAGACACAGTTACACAATACTGATACTTGTTGCCAATGGAGGTGACAAATTTCTCATGGAATTAGTTGAGGTGCGCACAAGTTGACTTGGACACCGCAGTTATGCAAAAAACTCAGCATTTGGGATTCAATCAATAAGATAGTTCACATTTTTTTTTAATTTTTTTTTTTGATAATCGTGGTACCCGACGTAGCTTGTGCGCACCTTGACTAATTCCACGGGGTACCTTCCACCTCCCACCTGTATGTAAGGCTAGGGCAGATGACAGGAAATCCCCTAGTATTTTTGTTAGATAGTTTACATTTATAATACTTCAACTTTTATGAGCTTTTTATCTTTAAACTATATATTGAACTTCATGAATAATAAAATCAATGACAAATATCCAAAGGCACAAAGAAAGCCATCATAGTTTTAGATTTGTAAATAAACAAGAAACAAATAAATGTACATTAACTAATTAAAATTAATTTTTATAAAAACTATGAAAAGTTCTACTAAAATCATCAACTTTTACTCTAAACTGAGGCTGAAGAAGAATTGATAGCATAAAATAATAGAAGAACAAAAGTAAGGAGAAGAAAATAGAAAAAACAAAGGCTCCAAGTGGAAGAAATATTAAAAAAGGCCGGTAGGCACAACTCGCGTAAAAATATATTGGGGAACAAATGTAAAAGAACAGGGAAAACAAGAAGGGAGGAAATGGGCTGTTGTGTGAAAGCTAATGCCTCCTAAGAGATTAGAACCCACAACAGTAGACATGTAGGACTTGAAAAACATCTTCCGCCAAGTGCAGAAACCTCTACTTTAGGTGCCTTTGTGTATCTATTTCTAATATATCAAGATAGTTACCTATATAAACCAAGTTCCCATCTAAGTTTCGGGGTGCAGGCGTATCCTCAACCTACTATTAACGGGCTTGCTAAATCCAGATTGAGGGAAATTTATGATTAGATGTGTCTTTTAGTAAATATTAACTGTGTTATTCTGTTGGAAATGAAAGGTCAAAGCAATAAAAATGTCCAAAATATAATGGCAAGCACAAAATTAGAGATATGCTGACAGCTTAACTTGAAAGGGAGATTTTAAGCTATCATAGGATAAGTCCTAGGAGGAAATAGTCCTTTGAAGGAGCTGTAATGAAAATTATTCTTATTGTCGACGAGGTAATATGTGGTGGCTAAAAAGCCCAAGTGTAACACCCGAAATCCACGCTTATTGCTCAAAGTACTTCCACGCTTGTTCTAGCATGTTTAATCACTTCTGGATTTTAGTATCCTTGCTTGTCCCCACACTTCCCATCTTGATCTGCTTTTTCTAGGTTCGAATTTTCGGGGTCTTACACCAAGTATACTAGTGGTATACAAGAAGTGGACCTACACCAACACATAGTTCTGGTGCTCCAAAAATCTATTTACAAAAACAAAAAATCAGTTTTAATCTGTTCAAGAGTCCTCAAGCACTCTACTGGGATGAAATCAGTTCTACTTGGGAAAATTGAGAAGTGTCTGCTTTTCATTTATTCTTAAGGGGCTCTTCGTTTGGGTTTTCATGCTTAATACTATTGATATTGACATATTGTAGGGTGTATTCTCTTAAAATGAAAATTTAATAAAGAGTTTGTTATATCTGATTCTATCAAAAAAATTGAGTCTGATTATTTCTTTTCAGATTTTGGCTGATAACCTTATTGATAATCTCCCGGTGAACCTGGGATTGCTTAAGTCTTTGAAAGTTGCAACACTTGATGGGAACCGAATCAGAGCATTGCCTGATGAATGTAATTTCCCACCATCCTAGTAAATTTGTGAAGTTAAGTAGGATTCTCTCTGCAATAGAGTATCACACTCTCTATTCTAATAACATAATGTTCTCATATTCAGTGGGCCAGTTGGTGAAGCTTGAGCGTTTGTCTGTCTCAGGAAACTTGTTAATGAGCTTGCCTGAGACTATTGGGAGCTTGCAGAATGTGAGTGATCTTTCTGATGGCTTATACAGTGCCATCTCCCGCAATTCTAAAAAGTGTGCCAGTTAATATATTATTTCTTAGCTTGCTTTACTGCTTTGTTAATATTTTTTTCCCTGAGTATAAAAGTGCTAAGGTGTCTAATGAAATGGTGTCAATCTTGTAGAAAATGTTCAGCATATTGATATCCATATTAATGGATCATTTTGCTTACAACTTTCTGTTCTTACAACTGTAAGACCTAAGATGCTGCTTCTTCATGAATTTGTTTTGTCTCCCTGGTAGTTGATGTTGTCTCTTTGTTATCTCATGATAGTATTTTTGATTTGGAATAGGGTCCTGCAGCTCCGGGGGAGGGTGGTTGAATTTGGAGAATAAGTGGCTCCATTGCGGGTTGTCTTGAGGTCAACCACCCTGAGTACCGTCTGTTCTTCCTATTTATTTCACTCTCTCCTTATACTGAATATTTTTCTTTTTAAGTCTTTCTCTTCATTGTCATTGTGAGAAACAAAGACTTGGAAAATACTTCCAATATACGTAAACTACATTATTACATAAAGCCCTGTTTATAGACAATACACTACAATCCTTTTCCATGTATGGCACCATGTACAGTCCTATTTGAGCACTCCCCCTCAAGCTGGTGCATGCTAGTCATATGTACCAAGCTTGGTACCTCCACTTGGATGTATTGTGTCATATCAATTGGGTAAATAAAAAATGGGCTAAGAATCGATTCCTGGTGTAACCCCATCTCGACTAGGAAGTATTCTAGGTCTCCTTCCATTATTCTCACTGAGTTTTGGCTTCATCATACATGTCACTAATCCCTCTAATGTATGCCACATGTACACCTCTGGACTCCAAGCTTCTCTATAATATCTTCCTGGGGACTTTGTCATATGCCTTTTTTAAGTCAATAAACATCATATGTAGGTTTCTCTTCCTATCTCTATACTCATCCAACAATCTCACTATGAAATGAATGACTTCCATAGTTGATCACCCTGACATGAATCTGAATTGGTTCTCTAAAACAGACACATCCCTCTTCCTTCTCATCATCATCTCTACCACCCTCTCCCAATCCTTCATAGTGTGCCATAGTTGTCTAATACCACCCTATAGTTGTTGCAATTTTAAATATCATCCTTTTTCTTGTACAGCGGGATCATTGTCCTCCACCTTCATTCTTCGGGCAGTTAGTTCGTCCTAAAAATGATATTAAACAACCTAGTTAGCCATTCAATGCCTACTTCCCCTGTCAAAAATCTATAGGTATCTCATCTAGACTGTTCGCTCTTCCCGTTTTCATTTTACGGATTGTCCCCTTGACCTCCTCAAAGTTTTTACACCTACAATACCCAACATCACGATGTCTCTTGGAGTGTTAAAAATCACTCAACAAAATAGTTCTAATTCATGTCCCCCTCTGCATTCAATAGTACAAGTTCCATTTGCCTTTTTTTTTCTCTAAATTTTAATTTCTGAGCATTGACAAACAAAGACTCAGAAAATATTATTAAGATATGTCAACTACATTATTACACTGAGGTCTACTTATAGACAATACACTACAATCCTTTTCCAAGTAGGACACCATGTACAATCCTATTGTAACTCCAAGAAATATAGTGTTCACTTTTAGGGTCTAACTCTCATGGTTGCTGACATGGGATTATGAATTAGAGTTTTACAATCAAGTTAACTAGCTCTATCTCTCGTATTGTTCATATCATTCTAACACTTGCATATACTTTCACTCCAAATATGTTTTGTTATTTGTGAGTTCAGTTCAATATGATGATGCCGTTTTTTGCCTGTCAGAGATAGTCGTTCAGCCTGGACTTAATAGTATTCTTAATTCATCTTATTTGGAAAATAAAGCTTTTGGAATTGACAGTAATGGTTTTTCACTGCAGTTGGTACTGTTGGACATTTCAAACAATAAGTTAAAGTTTTTTCCTGAATCAATTGGAAGTTGCTTCTCTTTGGAAGAATTGCAAGCAAATGGTACCGTCAAATTTTAGTCACTCATCTTATTCTTGCTATTTCTCTATTTTCTCTTATTTTCCTGGCAGCGGAGCTCTGTATCAATTATCCATCGAGGGAAAAAACATGTTATAGTCAACATAAAATTAAGTCAAAAATTTATGGCTGATGATAAAATTGGAGTATTGGGTGACCTAGAAAGCTAAAGGAACATCTACAAATTTTCTCTGTTAAGCTTATATGATAATATTTTTGGCACCATCGATTTGAATTAGCACATGATATTCTGTCTCTTATTCCTCAGTGTGCCATAATGCGGTTTACTGTTTTTTTTTTTTCGCAATCTTGCCTCGTGATAACAATATTTCCTTTCAGATAATTCCATTGAAGAACTTCCTGTATCAGTTTGCAATCTTGTTCAACTAAAATCACTTTGCCTGAACAATAACAATCTCAATCAGGTTAGTGTCTAATTTAACCTGTGTGTATGTGCATGTGACCCTTATTATTTTGAGGTCATATCTAATATTCAGTGTTTACCTCGATCTGGTACTGCTCTTGTGGCCTGCACCGATAGAGTGCTTTACCCCTAGATGTGCAGTCAACTGCTGTGCATGTGTGTGTGTCTGTCTTTATCATCATCACACAAAATGTGCAAAGAATAGTAAACCACGTGGATTAAAAGCTTACCTGTTTGTCACACCGAAATTCTGAACTTATTGTTGTACTGGTGATACTTGTATGTGTTCTCTCTCTCTCTCACTTTCTATCTTAAGGATGCTATTAAGCAGGGTTAGGAACTCTCTTCGCATGATATGTAAGCGTAGTTCACCTCCCCGTGTATGAGTGTTAAAAGGGAACTCATTCATTAACCTTAAAACGTGCATGTAAAAGCTTTTCCTTTTAATAAGACCTCATGAATAAATGAAGATAACCAAACAATCAGTAGGATCTATATTGCAAACAGGCAATAAAGCCAAATACGCAAAATGATCCACATTTGAGGTCATTGGATTGAACTTCAAGTGTCTTCTAATTAAAGCATCATCATCCAAGTTTTGTACTCGTTCCTATCAAGTATATGTTTTTACTAGATACTCATGCTTCCTTTTGGTAACTGGATTGTTTAGATGCCTCTAAATTTGTTAAGAGAATGCAAGAGCTTGCAGACTGTATCTCTGCATGGAAATCCGATTTCCATGGACCAATTTCAACAGGTTACTCACTAATATTCTACTACTTAGCTCTGTAAGTACTAAAAAAGTCATTTATACAAAATTCTATTTGCTTTTTCTTTTCCAGATGGATGGCTTCAAAGACTTTGAAATCCGCCGTAAACAGAAGTTTGATAAACAAATAAACTCAAATGTAATAATCAGTTCTAAAGGGCTTGATGAGGGTGTTGATTTGTGATTCCTCTCCACTCCGCACAATCTTGTTAATCTCAGGTTTACTCTTTTTTGCTTAAAAAAACTACATAAATCATTCTTTGGAGAAAAACAACCAAATTCCCAAATTCATAAACCCCCAAATTAAATATCTATGAGCTTGTATGGTAAGGTGAGACCCTCCTCTTATTGGAATCTAATTACTTTAAGTCACAAATATTATTTTACGATGAAAATTTGTTTCTTTCGTCGGATTGTCATAGTACTTCTTGTTATTGATTGTTGAGTGAACTCATTGTTATAGTAATGTGGGGGTGTGGGAAAAATTTATTGGATCAGTCAACGGAAAAAGGTAAAGGTTACTCTCTTATTTTAGCATGTTTGCTTAAAAGGTTAAAGCTATATGTCTTGCGTACTTTGGATGATCTACTCATAGCCATAAGTTTAGTGTGTTGGCTTCCTAGAGTTGTTATGCTCGTCCCTTGTTGAGAACTCTATTATATTGATAGCGACCTCGTGATTAGGTACACCTTAGAGATTACTCATACGCTTATAGTTGGTTTGCTTGCCTTCAGGCCACTTGATTGATGTTGATACCTTTTGGGCCATAGGTTTGTTGTTACTTCTTTCAGGGGTGGGGTGGGGGCATTGTGGCTGGCTTCCGAGTTATGGTTCGTGTTTTCAAGGTTATATGTAGTTTGCCTAGGGGTAATGTAGAGCCTTATGTGCTCGGATAGATAGTCTTATGTGCTGAGACACATAGAGCCTTTTGTTCTCGATTGTATAGCTATACAACAAGGGTAATATAGAGCCGAAAGACTCCTCAACTATACAGAGCTGACAGGATCCTCAACCATACTAGCTAGTCAATTACACAAAGCTTATCGCCTATGGGGCAGAATTGTTGCCAATAGGGGTATAGAGATTGATTTGTACATGTCGAGCTTATGTGGGATAGGGCAAGTGTATTAATTGTTGTTTGTACTTGTCGATTTTATACAGACTTGGTAAGTTGTTGTTTAATTACTGTTGTATGATCCATGTATGAATTGTGGGATTTTGCGGTGACTATTCTTGAGTCCCTTCAATGATTCCCTTAAGCATTGTATACATTAGTTGGCCTAGTTAGGCCGAATTGATTGTTGAGTTGAATATGGTTTCTGAGTTTGAAGTCAAAAACATGTAAGTACGTTCTGACTATTTCTAGACTCCCTATTTGATTACTTATAGTACTTTATCATATCATATTATTACTTATTCAATTTCCTTGCATAATCGGTATTTATTTCTTATTAATGCTCTAGAGGCTCTGCATTCAGGGCTGCAGGTCCTAACAAACAAGTAGCCAGACTTCTTTACTAATGTTTCCTAGTTTAGCTAATCAATAAGCTCCATTTCATTCAGAGTTGCGAGGTTTAGAGTTTGGGAGATTATATATAGTTCATGGGTAGGTCAGGGCCTGCTCCCGACTAGATACTATATTCTTGAGGCTTGAAGAGCTGGGTCATGTCATAGAACAGCTCAATCGAACGTATTGGCATTAGTACTTAGCTTGTTGTCTATATGTTTGCTAGTGTAGATATTATAATGGTCTTGTCAGCCCGCGTAGCAGATGATATGCTTTTATTATGAACTGTTGGGGTCCCGCATGAGAGAATTTACTGGTTTTTTCCACATTAATTTTGTGAAATGTTGAGGTTTCCGCCTAGTTCTTCATCTCTAAGTCCAAATTTAATTGACATTGAGTTATTCATTGTTCTGAGTAACTTTAGAATATGAAATGTTAGATTATTAATATTATATAATTGATACTGCATCATGCATATTTTAAAGGTAGCTTACAAATCAAAACCAGATTAATACTATAAAAAATATCATAATAATGTACAACGTACTATATATAGTGTAATATACCCGATAAGAAAAATTGGCATGTATTTATGACTAGATAATTGAAGGCCCATGGGTCCAATATAATTAATTATTTTTTTCAGTTTTAAGTTAAAAAAATTATCCAAATTAGTCTCTTATTTTATTATAGTTTCTAAAATTTTTCTACTATTTAAAAAAATTACAAAAATATCCTCTCAGATGCATTCCTATCCTTCGTCAGACACATCCGTTATCGTCTCTTGGATACATGCCTACCCTCTCTTTAATACATCTTTATTCCATCTTGAATAAGTCTCTATCCTCTCTTGAATACATCTCTCCCTTTCGGATACATACATATATGCTCGCTCAAATACACCCCTCCCCTCCCGAATTCATCCGTGAGCTATGTGTCTCCAAGTTTTCTCAATAGCAATGTATCACGATCAATGTATCCGCATGTGTGTTGATTTATCTAAAATTATTTAATTCTAAGAAAATTTTGTAATTTGAAAAAAGTAGGGTATAATGTAATTAACTCTTTACACTATGAAAGCTATGAAAATTTTTCTTTAAAATAGTCTATGTGACATATTTTTCTTTGTAGTTAGTTTCAAAAGAATGATGTATAATATATTTAAATAACATTTTGACTATAAAATATTCATTTTATTCTTAGTAAGATGATTTATAGTAATATGAATATCTATGATTTGTTTTAGACTACGAGTTTTGAAAGTATTTTTTTCTTTTGAATAATCTTTATGTATAAACTAAATTATATAAATCGAAAGGGAGTGAATACAAACTTTAGATCAATTTTATATTTATAAAATTTAAGTTTTTGTAGCTATTTTGCCTTTAAACAAAATTTAAAATGAAATTCACAATTATTTTTATAGTTTTTTTAATCAATATTCTATCGATAATAAAAAAAAATTTAATTTGAACAAGGCAATAAAGTATTTTAATTTTGAAATTCAAGTATTGATATCAATGTAGAAAATATTTATTTTTATGTTGTAAAACATTCATAATTTATTATTTAATGTGCTCCTTACTCTCGACGAATAACACAAATTTATAATAATTCAAGAGCGCAAGAAGTTGAAATGAAGACCAAAAACTGCAACTCACTATTATAAGAAGGTCAATAGGTAGTTTATCTATTATGAAAGTTTCATATGTATATAATATATGATTCTATACCAAATTAATTTCTGTTTCCATATATTTATACAATTTCAAAATTTATCCTGTTAATTGGTTATGTGTTTTATTAAACTACAACTATGCACTTATTATTTTGTCATTTTTTTTGTTCTTACATTATCAACTCTATGTTGTATCTCTTAGAATTGCAATATTTTTGCTTTCTTATTTAAGTGACAATTTTTTAATTTATTTTAGAGATTAAATAAATATTATTTTGGAGATAAAATAAGAAAAAAATTTATTAACCTACAACCACGAAGATTAACTTCGAAACTCAGTGACGAAGAAAACTTTGAAACTCTTATCCGCGAAATGAGGTAGGAGTAAAATCATATCTGGAAAATAATGAAAAGAGGGCAAAAAAGAGAAAGAAAGATTTAAGGATTTAGTTTATGTGACAGTGGAACCCTTTTGGCGTGCAATGTGGAATTCACATGACATTTAACAACTTTCTTTAATAAGGACATTTTTGACCTAATAGTTTGATGGAAAGGGTAGTTTTGAGCCGAAATATAGTTTAAAGGTAAATATAAACTATTTCAGATAATTTAAGAGTATTTTTTACCCTTTTCGTTTTAAGTCTATGTGGCAGTGGAACCATATTGGCGTGCAATGTGGCATTCACATGACATTTAACAACTTTCATTAATAAGAATTGTACTTTTGACCCAATAGTTTGACGGGAAGGAGAGTTTTGAGCCGAAATGTAATTTAAGGATAAATATGAACTATTTCAGATAGTTTAAGGATATTTTAGACCCTTTTCAGTTAAAGCGATATGAATACTTATGCTTAAACACATTGTATATAATTTAAAAGGAAATTACATCACGGAAGCTGGTAGATTATACTGAATATGTTGCAGTAGCAATAACCAGACATGAACTATTTGAATTGTATAAATATTTTCTACATTATTACAATCAAACAAATATAAATTGATTTTTAAAAATTAAAAAAATTGATTATGTGGAGTCACACGTGAAATAAAACCTTTTATGACTCTTGAAAAAGATTATTGAATTCTTCTAGAAAATTATTTTGACCACTAATTATAAAGTTATAACTTTGCCTATAAATAATAATGTTTTAAAATTACAATATTGTCATTGATCGTCCTAATAATGGCCTTTCTATATAATATAATAGAAATTAATAAGATACACTCGGACACGTAAACTAACGTAAACTAACTGTAAATTATAAACGGAAAAAAGAGAACAAAAAAACTTTTATGAGTCTTCGGTAAGTATATATATTTTAAATTTATTTTTTGAGGATTAACTAATATATTATTTTAATATGTGGTTTGATAATAAATTATTTGGCAATTAATTGATGTAATTTGTGCATTTGTGATTCCAGATGTTATCAATATAATTAGGAAAAATAACTTAAATACACAACTATAAGTTTAGTATTCTTTAATTTTCCTTTTTTTTTAAATATTACATAATTTCCTTTTTTTTAATTTTAGTAGAAGTTTAGAGATACATAACCTTCTCTCTCCTATAACACACACTTCCCCAATATCATGCCTATTTTTTCTCCACTAAAACACTCAATCTTTTGAATCACTTTTTGAATTTTGAATTATTAATTTTAATTTAAAACGTTTCACAACATTTAATATGAAATTTTGAATTTCAAAATTCAAAAAATTTGAAATTTCTGAAAATTGGACCATTATTCTCTGGTTCTTCTTCTTCTTACTCCATCATCCGTCTATAGTTCTTTTCTTCTTAATCCATCATCTGTTCTTATTTTCTTTTTTTTCTTCTTGTTCATTGCTATATTACATAAGCCGTCTCTAGGTCTTCTTTTTCTTCTTATTCCATCATCCTTTCTCTTTTTTTTTGTTCATTGTCCTATTACATCATATTAATGGATCTTTTTACTAATAGAAAGATTAATGATTCAGACGATGAAAATTGGAAAGAAAATAGAAAAAAGTATTTACATGATCCTATGAATGTTCGGAAGGATTCAAACAAAGATTTTGGCGAATCCTCTATATCAAAGGTTGACAAAATACACCAAAAAAAGA